TCATTACGAATGGATCAACGACGTCGAACGAAACAGATTCGCCCTGTTCATATCGGGCGAGATAGAGTTTGTAGTACACTAAGTGCATAACAACACGATAATATTGATAAATCGTGCAAATCTCTACAATCGCTTCGAAATTCCACGTTGTGCACATTCGGCTGTATTCCACCACGGATGAGAGTCCAACGCCACGTGTGGCTACAGGCAGGGGAACAGCGACGGGTGCTCTCTAGCGTTGCTTGATCTAAAAATAGTTTACTAGCTAGATCGGCTCTCTGCTTCATTCCGACCTTTCGTCGAAATCCTTCAAAACGTCTCTGCTTTGCTCCTTTTCCTGGCTTTCGGGTATTGGATTTAGTGTCAACTTCATCCTTCATTGCGGACTGCCTTTCTTCAGTCTCAGATGCAAAAGTTGTAGCTTGTCGCGACATCTTTAATGTTAGCTTTATTATAAAAAGTGGTTTTAACATTTTTGCACCAGATGCATTACTGCAAAGAAGGAGTGTAATTCGATCCTTTGCAGCTCTAAACCCACTTGCGGTTTTTTAGACTTGGCAATAAACGTTCGACTGGGCATCTTTTTCCAAAATAACCCAGTTTCATCTGCATTAAATACTTGATCTGGGCAATATCCACCATCATCAATGATTTTTGCTAATACTTTACAATAATTCTTAGCAGCTGTTTCATCGGCTGACGCTGCGTCACCTTGTATCTTTACATTGGGAAATGCGTATCGACGTAAAAATCCAGTAAACCAGCCATTGCTCGCAGAAAATTTCAGATTTTCTAAAGAGGATGATGAACTAGATGGTTCTAAATCCTTCAGCTGGTTGAAATACTATCTAGCTTTTTCTTTAATTAAATCTGTGTGAATGGGGATTCGTTTTTTAGTTAAATCATTAATCCAAAACACGAGAGCCTTTTCCGTCTTCAATATTACAATATTTCTTGAATATGATGCTCTTCTACTGCTTTCGTTTGTTGCACTATTAATATTGGGTCAGTGCAAAAGTTCGTGACCGATTTCTCATTAAAACTCGAGTAATAATTTGGAGCATGAAATTTTTTTATTAATCAATTATGTAATTGCCATTGTTTTCTACGATCTTTTCCCAACGTTCTGGTAGCATTCTGATGCCTCGATCATAAAACGACTTCGGTTTTGAATTGAAAAAAGAAGAAATGTGATTTTTGACCGCTTCCAAAGATGCGAATTTTTTCCCATTTAGATCGTTTTGTAATGATCGAAACAAGTAATAATCTAATAGTGCGATATCTGGAGAATATGGCGGATGCAATATTGCATCCCATTTCAGTTCCTTTAGTTTTGCTAAGGTCCGTTTTGCAGTGTGCGGTTTTGCGTTGTCCTGATGAAAAACAACTCCCTTACGATTGACCAGACTTGGACGCCTCGCCTGGATTGCTGTCTTTAAATTTTCTAATTGTTGACAGTATTTCTCGGAATCAATCGTTTGACCAGCGGGCAATAGCTCAAAGTACAGTATTCCTTGGCAATCCCACCAAACAGAAAGCATCACTTTCGCAGGATGCAAATTGGGTTTTGCTATCGGTTCTGCACGCTCGCTTGCAACTTTCCAAGTTCGTTTACGTTGAACATTATCATAGAGAACCCATTTTTCGTCACCAGTCACCAGTCGATCCAAAAACTGTAACCGTTCTTTAGTTATTATCAATTGAACCCCGGGAGGTAACGTGCCCCTTTAACTATTCCAGGATTATCTAGAGTGGTTCGTGCCTCCAGGCACTGGATAGCGACGAGATCTGGTTGGTGTTAGAAAAAAAATTGGAGACGATTTAGAGGTTAACAAACGTTGCGTATATTCTGTTGGAGCAGTGTTACAACAATACCTTTCCCCCTCCAATCAAGGATTGTTTAACCCGAAAAAGAGCACCGATGCTGCGCGTGGATACGATATTAGTAACGCGTGGCCCGCTTCTTTACTCTCAATGCACGTAGTTCACACCAACTCTCTCTTTGAGACACATCCTTGTCGTCAGTTGCGAAATTTCTATATTGAATCGACGATTGAAGATTTGTCGCAGCACTCACGCATATGGCCGAAGTTCGGAGAAAATGCGTGAGTGGAGACGTGCATAAAGCCGCAGTCAAACTGCAACACCCAAGAGCCCACCCGTCGGCACGATACGTGGATTTCGAGTGATCTCCGGTGTCGGGAGAGAGACGTTGACCATGCTAGAATCTGATCGTATATCGCGACTCGATTACGACGCGGCAACCACCATTCGCTCCGACCGGTCAAGTCGGGGGGGCGGGGGGGAGACGAATACTAGCCCGCGCGTAGACTGACGATTGAGGATTTGTCGCAGCACTCACGCATATGGCCGAGGTTTCGGAGAAAATGCGTGAGTGGAGACGTGCATAAAGCCGCAGTCAAACTGCAACACCCAAGAGCCCTCTCGTCGGCACGATACGTGGATTTCGAGTGGTCTCCGGTGCCGGGAGAGAGACGTTGACCATGCAAGAATCCGATCGTTTATCGCGATTCGATTCCGACGCGTCTGGTTTAGCTAGCTTCGAAGGAGCGAATTGAGCACTACGCGAATATGACCAAATTCCTTAATAACCAGAGTATATAATGTGACTGTACCGAACTCACGACAATAAGGACACGTGAATCAACAATATCACACAATCCTCGTTTACACACGGTTGTACAGAGCCGAAAAACAGATATGGCAGCACATTATTAATACCTTTCGATTAAAATGTGCTCCTACGCTATTTCACGGCTGTGTACAATACAACGTTCCAATTTGACTGCTGCGTGGTTCACGACTGATACACAAGCGATTAATTTAAATACTATTTCCGATCGGGCTGTGCCAAGGCGCGGTTTGAGCACTTGACTCCTCGGTTTGAGGCGCATATGTAACGAGGGTAAGAACGGCGGTTTGACGATTCTACCAGGTTGGTTTAACCTCTCGGTTAGATACCGTGTTTCGCCGTACGGATCTTCCTTAGGATCGCGTGTGTATCAGTTCGCTTCCCAGCGCAGAGTGCTGATCGACGGGCTCGTATCGACCTCCTTCGATCAGCACCCGGTGGGGATCGATGCGCACGCAATCTCAATAGATAGTGGGGCATTCCCACTCCGATTCTATTACGTAGATCGCGAGCTCCGTCGATTCCCGTTATGCGATATATCGCTACTGTGCACTAACACCTAGCTATCTATGTGTGTGTGTCTCTCCGGAGCTCGTTTATGTATTCGGAACGGTTACAAAACAGCTCATTATTTAGTCGGCCAAGCAAAGAAACAACTGCAGAAACTCGATTCAATTTGTTCGCTTCGGTAAGCAAATGAGGCACCCATACATCAAGCTTCTGTGTGTACTCTTTTTTTTTTTAAATGTCGAAATGCGGTCGACCTGTCAACCCTGAGTCTCTGAGTAATCTCGTCGGTTGAAATTCTTGAATTAGTTTGCACTAAATTGTGCACAATATTATCATCTATGCCAGAAGGTCGGCCAGAGCGTGGTGCATCATCAAGATTGAAATCGCTACGTCTAAATTTCGCAAACTATTTCTTAACGGTTCGAATTGCTGGTGCACAGTCCTGATAGACGTCGCGAGTTACATGCTAGTGAAAAAGTTATCGGTCGTGATATAGCTTCCACACCTTTATATGGCTTGACAAGTTTCAGAACAACATGTTCACTGAGAAGCATTGACGATGGTCGCTGTTCATCTTTCCCCAAATAAGGAAAACCATTCAAAACATATTTGCTACTAACATCTGATGCAAGCCGGAATTTGATGCCAAATTTGTTGGGTTTATTAGGCATATACTGTATAAACTTGCACCTGGCTTTTGACGGAAATAATTGCTCGACAACTGTTATATTTTGCCCTGGTTGATAGCAAGCTTGACTATTTTCAATGAACTTGTCCCATATTTCCGAAACCAATTACACTACTATAATAATATATAAATAAATAAATAAAATTAGTGTCAGTGGTCAGGTGATAAAATAAAAACTAAGGTGAGTATTAAACAGGTAAGTGTTATACTATAAAAGAGCCTTTCTTCCTTCTTTCCTTCTCTTTCTTTTCCTTGTCTCTTTCATAGTTTTCCTTGGTTTCCATTATCTTTTTAATGAAAGCTTTGATGACCTTCCTATTTCCCTCATTCCTTAACCTTTCTATTAGGTTTTCTGGTGTTAAATCTCCTCCGATTTCTCTCTGCATTTCTTCCCTGTCCGTTGTCCATTCGTTGCATTGGAACAGGGTGTGATTTGCATCATCTTTTTCTTCCTTACAGAACCAGCATCTCGGGCTATCTAATTTTCGCATCCTGTTTAGGTACTCCGCGAAGCATCCATGTCCCCCTGAACATTGCGTGAGGTGGAAGTCCAGTATTTGTGGGCCCCACTCCACCCAGTTTTCTATTCTAGGTATGAGCCGCCGTGTCCATTCTCCGTGTTCAGACGCGCTCCATTCCTTTTGCCATATTTCCATTGTTTTCTTCCTTTCTTCTCTCTTGATTTGGTCCCTGTTTATGCTGCTTCTGTTGTCTTTCTTCGTGTTCTCTTGCCTCTCGTAAATTCTGTGTCTTTCTGCCGCCAGCATGTTCCATGGCGGCTGGCCTGCCAGTACACATAGTGCGGCGTGCGCTGTGGTGCGGTATGCCCTTGCAACTTTAATTAACATAGTTTTGTGCACCTTGTGGACCCTTTTCTTATTCCATTCGATTTCCAGCGCGCCATGCCACACCGGTGCTCCGTACAACATGATGGATTCGACTACTCTGTAGTAGAGGCACCTGGTGTGATATAGAGTGTCTCCCGTGTTTGTCAATAATCTAGCCAGGGCCCCTGCCGTCTTGGTGGCTTTTTCGCAGGTCTTGTCCATATGGGCCTTGTACATCCGGTTGTCTTCTAAAATTACCCCCAGGTATGTAACTTCTTTTTTGTTCTGTATGCGTATGTCTCCTATTTGGAATTCCAGCTGTCTATTTAGTTTTCTGCCGGTAAGTAGGATTATTTCCGTTTTTCTTTTGTAGTTCTTCTATTGTAGTTTTCCTATCTTTGTTTTCCTTTGTGTCTCTTGCTCTAATGCCTAGTAATTCGTCTATTCCTCTTCTTTCTAGGTTCAAATTTCTCCTGTTATCTCCTGCCACCTGTGGTTTCGTGACGAATAAACCCTCTATTATTTTTTCCACATCTTCTTTGTTTAATTTATTCGGAGGTGTCCTTGGTTTAAAAGTCGCGAAGACTGCTTTGTATGGTCTCCCCCATGGATAATCTTCGACCATATCCTGCAGTCTCTTCCACGACTCTATTTTTGCCATTTTTATTTCTCTTTTTAGAATATCTTTTCTCGCTTTGTACTCCTTTCTTAGGCTTTTTATGATCGAGTCGTTTCTTTTCTGTTTTCTAGCCCTCTGCATTCTTCTTCTCGCATGATGACAGTCGCTTCTTAATGTTTGTAGTTCTGGTTTCCACCAGTGTGCTTTCTGTTTATTTTTTAGTGTTGCTGGTAGTGTTCTTCGTGATTCGTTTACTGCGTTTTCTATTGCTTCTATGTACTTGTCTATACGGTTGCTCGTCCACTCTATGTTTGTGTTACTATTAATTTTGCTGTCATAGTTTTGCAAGAATTTACTGTAGTTTATTGTGCCCTTGTTGTTTTTACCATTGTTATTGTACCTATTGTCATTGTTATTACTATTGTCATTGTTATTATTGAATTTGTGTATAAGGTATTTATGGTCTGAGCCTGTGTAACTGTCCAGTATTGTGCTGCTCTGTAGGGTTTTATACGTTTTGCTGTCTAGTATGACTATGTCTATCATGGAGGTCGACCCGTTTCTCTCGAAGGTGTGATTTAGGCCTGTGCTTTTCACCGTGAATAAATTTAACTTAGCGCATAGATCCAAAACCCGTGATCCTCTTTGGTCCGTTCTAGCCGATCCCCAGTCCGTTAACACGTTGAGCGCCACACCGATTTTAAAGGAAGTCCCTGCCAGGCCACGCGCGCCGTTTAAAAGCGCTGGTATTACAGAGCCAATGTTTCTTATCGCAGTTGAAGTTTACTTTTAGATTGAGATGCCTATGTTTACCGTGTCTTAACGAAATCCATTAATCCTGTAATGAGTCAAAATTAAGTAAATTTTAAATAAATTTTCTGTAATTCTTTAAAACAGTGTAAATTTTTTAGTTCTATATCATGTTGTACGCTGTCAGCCACCGGTGGTTGACGCGGCCTAAACGGAAAGTCCAGTGTCAGCCACCGATGGCTGACGTGGCGCACAACGTGTTAACTTAGAGTTTAGATCCCCGGCTATTATCACTTTCTTTTTCCTATTTCCAGTGATTGTTTCTTCGATGCCTTCAAGTTTTTCTGTGAATTCGTCCAATTTGATGTTTGGGGATATGTAGCAGCTGAGAATAACAGTTTGGTCCATTTCCACCGCCACATATCCGTCTCCTCTTTCACTTAACTTGATGCTTTTCGTTTTGTTGCCCCCCTTGTCAGTTATCCATATCGCTGCCATGCCTGTTTTATCTTTAAACCAGTTGTCCATGATTTTATAGGGTTCACTTATGATTGCGGCATCAATTTCCTCCTCGTCGGTTATTCTCGTCATCAGATCTTGCGCCAATCTGCACCTATTTAAATTTATTTGGAGTACTTTGAAACTCTTATTGTTCATTTCTTACTGTTTAATGGCATTCGTCTTCCTTTCCTCTATCCTTCTCTGCCTGTTTTCCTTGAATGCCCTTCTATATTCAGGGCATCTGGTGCTCCCCGTGGCGTGCCCGTCTGTCTCGCATAACGCGCATCTGGTCACCCCCTTACAATTGTCGGCGTTGTGTCCTTTTATGGTGCATTTTCTACAGGCTCCACTCATGTCTTGCCCCTTACAATCCTTGGCCCTGTGGTTGTAGCCCCAGCACCTGAAGCATCTGACTATCTCTTCCCTTTCTATTACGCGGCATTCGCTCCATCCCATAGCTATTCTGCCTCTGTTGATGAGTTTATTTGCCTTTTCTTCCGTTATAATCACGGTGACATTCTGCCTATCCCCGTAGGCAGGTCTAAGGGCTTTTGTCGTTATTTCTTCCCTGTGCGTTTCCGGCAATTCTTTAACTATTGCCTCTTTCACATCCTCCTCGGTCGTATTTTTATCTAGGTCCTTTATATGGAGTACTTTCTTCGGTCCTGCTCTACCGATTGTTGTGGCTCTGACACCTCCTATTCTTTTGTTGACGGTGGCCTTGAATCTCTCTGCTTCCTTGTCGTTGCCCTTCACCGTGACCAGCAGGTCACCTTTCTTCGTGCTCCTTACCCCTTTTACTTTGAAGTTGTCTTTATCCAGGTCTATCTTAGTTTGCAGTGTTCGTAGGGTGTCCGCATAGCTGTTTCCTCCCCCTTTTATTATAATTGTCTCCTCTTCCCTGTATGTCCTTGTTCTGCTCCTCGGTGCGTCCTCCTTTTTTCCCGTGTTTTTATTATATAGCCTGCATTCTATATTTGTTCCTCTAAAAATAGTTTCTGCAATTTTCCTGGTTTTGTTTATGTTTGTCTCCTTTTCTATATGTATGGCTATTTTGTTTCTTTTGTTCTTTTCTATTTCTTTCCTTAACTTCTCCATTGCATTGTACATATGTGTTGTCTGCTGTTTTTGTTGTTATAGTGTATCTGTTTTTCCCGTTGTACCTTCTCCCCCCTCTTCTTTTGTTTTCTCTGTATGGGTCTTTCCGATTTCCAACTGGTACAGGTATCGCTCCCATTTCTCCACCCCTCCTCCTTTATTGGGGATGTATAAAGTCCTGTTTAGGAAGGCTATCTCACCTGGTGCGGCTTCCTGTATCCTGAGCGCCTCGTAACCTTGGAAGTAGTCTATTATATCTTTATTGTACTCCCTCTCCATATCGTCTTCGGTTAAGATGACCAGGTCCCATTCCTGTCCAGTCTTGTAGATTTTGCCGTTTTCTAATCTTGTTCTTTCGAACGCTCTCTCGGGCCATGTAATGTCCATAACCTTTCCTATTGTTTCCAGGTCCTGGCATCTTTTAATTTCTTCTATTACCCTTTCTTCCTGTAGTTCTTTGTCCTCGATTGTTTGTGTTGCACTGTCGATTCCTTTCACCCTTTCTGCTCTCTCTGAGCATGTTGGACATGTTTGTGATTTCTGTTTCTCCATTTGCTCTCTTTCTTCCTTCATCTTCTTGATTCTGTCCTTGTTTGCATATTGTAACCTGTTAACTACTCTGACCAGATACATTATGCCTTGCTTTATCTCCGCTGTTATGTTTTCTGTCTTGTAGAGACCTTTTAGTACTTTAGCTGCCTCTACCACGTTCTTAATTTCGCAGTTAGTTTTTTCTTCTGCGTCCTTGCCGTCTTCTGTAGTCTCCTCCATCCTTTTCCTTTTCCCAGCTTGTTTAGGTGAGAAGTCTTCGTTGTCCGTTTCCATTTCCAGTAGATTGACTACCTTACTTAGGGTTACCTCCTTATTTTTCCACATATCGGAGAGCGAGTGAGATCTCTCCCTCCTAGGACTCCTTATCAGCTTGCTTTTCGTCTGAAAAGGATTCTTTAGGCCCATCTGGCATTCGTCCATGTCTACCTCTGTGACCATGGTACTTTCTTTTGCTTCAGTAGCTGTATCCTGTGTCTGGGCCTGAATACTCATCTCAGACACTGCGCGGTTGCTGGATAACTGCCGGGGGGAGCCCGCTCGCTCACTCCACGCGCCGGCAGATACTGGGGGATCCGATACCCCCTGCACCGTAGACTTTTTCCTTGTAGTAGACCAATCCATGATTTTTATAAGTATGACTAATGTTTCACTCCTCCCGCCTAGTCTGGACGAGAGGAGGGGAACGTAGAAAGCCCGGGAAGCGTGTATTAGTGCGTGCGTGCGTGCGTGTGCGTGCGTGCGTGCGTGCGTGCGTGCGTGCGTGCGTGCGTGCGTGCGTGCGTGCGTGTGTGTGTGTATTGGTGTATGTGTTAGGTATGTGGGATAGGAGAAAGGAAGAGGAAGGGAGTGGGAATGGAAGTTACAAGCCGACGCGGCCATTTATCCCTTCGGCACGTTACCATACACCTTGGGATTGTCGACCTGCATGCCTCTTACGTCGTTTGCAGTCCTCCACGCATCCACCTTACTAAAAGATTTCTCTTTTATACAACCTATTTGTTTGTAGGCGCCTACTTCTTTCGGTTCTTTTGTCAAAACGAATAAATCGTAGGATTTGCTTGAACTTTTCTCTGGCCATAGTTTTTCTAAAAAAATCGGGACCCCACTTTGCTGACCATAAATGAAGTACCAACTCAGTTTTAAATTTTTTGCCTCGTAGGCTCCACGAGCATATAAAATCCCAATAAATGCACGTATTTCCGGTAATGCTGTTGTCCAATCGTTCCTCAAAATTCGGCGGCCTTCTTCTTCTGTGCACTTTTTTATATGTTTGATAATATTGTTATGTATTATCAACGAGAATGCACTGATAAGATTATCTGCCATAATGTTCCTTTTTGCGTAGCCTGTTGGTCCTTTCACACCCTTGAAAATACAAGTAGATGGTAACCTTCTAGGAATACCACCTTCGTCAAATTTTGACCACACAGTACCATCGGCAGCTGTTTCGGTCTCCTGAAAGGTGTTTTCAGTTTCTTCATCAGAGTGTGAACTACTTAGCACCCTACACCTTTTCCTGGGCATATTGATGACACTTTCATTTTCATCATTGGTGATCGACTCTTCATCGCTATCTTCAGTGTCAGATGTTTCACTTTGAATATAGTCCGCTTCATCTTCAGATGATAGTTCAGAATTTGTTGCATCTGATTCTATATCGGAGCACTCTTCACTTATGTTCGTTAGCTTTTCCAATAAATCACTTCTATTCGACATTTCTTTCATGAATTTAGGGCGCAAAAGAAATAAAATAAACAACTTGTTAGAACAAGTATCACTGCATAAAGATTCGAATAACAAGTACTACTTTAGCTTATTGAGCAACTGCAACTTATCAAGTATACGCCCAAATCGACAATTTATCATGTACTTGTATGTTATCATGTGACGGTAATCGAAAAAAAATGAAAACTGTTATTTCAATACAGAGCCGAACTGGTCATATAAGAAATTTACTCAATTCAATAATAAGAGTCATCTGATTATTTAAAATTTCCCAAGCAGTCAAAATGACTGCTTATGGGCAATATAGGTATAACACATATATATATACCGGAAATGAAGGAGGGGGAGGTAACTACAATTATTAATAAACGCATTTATATGTTGTACAAAAAGTCACAAAATTCTAAGAAATTGT